TTAACCTTGCTGGACCTCATTTTCACTGTTTATAAAATGAAGGATGAGGAAAAAAACAAAACAAAAACTTAAGCCTTCAAAGTTTGCCTTTACTAAATACTCATTCCATGCCTTCCTAGGGGGAAGACAGGAGGAAGATGGAAAATTAAGTTTGCACTTATTTCACTAGAGTTGACTAGCCTTCATCTGTATCATCATATTAGATATTACTGCTCACAATTATTAATCTAAACCATTCCTGAATTGCAAGCCTTTCTTTCGGCCTTTTAGACGTCCATTTTTCATAACAAGATATTTTCCATGCTTTCTAAAGTTCTCTGATGATAAAGGTCAAGAAAAACATTTATCAATGTGTACTTAGGAAAAATAAATGAGACACAAAAACAGAACAATGAGAACAATAACAAAAACAAAACGTTTTGTACCAAAATGGAGGCTTCTGCTCCCCTTGGCATAAGGGCTAAAGGTGCTGGGACTGGTGGAAGGCAGGGCGCCCTGCCTGTGCATAGACTGCCTAGAGCAGGGTGGGGCTGTCCTGGCCTCCAGGCACTCCTGGGCTGAGAGCTGCCCTGTCTCAAAGGATGTTGCAGGGCAGAGCCCCGAGGCCCAGGCACCACCCCTCATACACCTCAGGAGAAGCACACAGATGGACACTGTCTCCTTCACACACGCAAATGGAATTTGTGGGTGGCCAAAAGCAGAAAGTTCAAAGCAAATGAGAGCAGTCTAGGGATGCATGAGCTACTGAGAAATTACTATTTTTAGACTCAAATTCCCTGCTTCCTAGGACTAAACAATTATTTTGTTAAAGACAAAGACCAAAAGAGGCTTTTGACTTGTGGCCACTTAGCATCTGCCCACTTCTTAGTCTGAGGGGCAGTAATATGTGAAGCGCATTTGTGTGTAAGAGAACTCATTCCTTCTTCTGGGGCCCTTCCTTTAGAACTCTTTTGTGAGAAGTGAGACTGAGGAAGGAAGATGTGACCCTTGCCCAGCAATGATGGGTGCCCACCATTCTTCTCAGGCTGACGGGGAACTCACCCCAGCTGCAGCTGGCGACAAATGACTGATGCATCAGAATCATCCCAGTGGCTGCTACAGACTGTGCCCCAAATTCCATTTGCATATATCTCCACTG